GCCAAACACTCTGACCCGGTAAGTAGTTGGGGGCCGGGGTCCTGTGGCGGTCTGCGATGAGGCGGTTGCGGGCAGCGGAGCGGAGCAGGGCTGCGACGAAGGTGGGCCTGAATGGAGGGAACAGCAACTTCCTCTTCCTGGGCTGGAAACAGAGGTGGTTGGAAACCCATGGCACAATGAAAGGGTGAAATACCTGTGGCTGCACTTGACAGGGAGTTGTGGGCATATTCGATCCATGGCAGATGTGGGCACCATGACGAAGGGTTCCTGAAAGCCACACAACGAAGGGCCGCCCCCAGATCCTGGTTGGCCCATTCCGTTTGCCCGTTCGTCTGAGGATGATAGCCAGATGACAGGCTCACCGATGCTCCCAGAGCCTGACAGAAGGCCTTCCAAACGTGGGAAATGAACTGGGGACCCTGGTCAGAGACGATGTCGGTGGGGATCCCATGAAGTCGAACTACATGGTTGACCAGAAGATCTGCAGTCTCTCGGGCAGTGGGAAGCTTGGAAAGAGCCACAAAGTGTACCATCTTTGAAAATCTGTCCACAATAGTTAGGATGATGGTATTTCCTTGTGAAAGTGGAAGTCCAGTAACAAAATCCAATGCCACATGCGACCAAGGGCGACTAGGTACCGGCAGCGGGCGAAGCAGGCCAGAGGGAGACTGGTGGGAGGACTTGGCGCGGGCACATACTGTACAGGCAGCAACAAAGGCCCTGGTGTCTTGAGCCATGGAAGGCCACCAGAACCGTTGTCTGAGAATAAACAGTGTGCGATGGACACCAGGATGACATGAGAGACGAGAGGCGTGTGCCCACTGCAGGACCTTGGAGCGAACAGGAGTAGGCACAAAAAGACTATTAGCTAGGCAGTTACCTGGGTTAGGCTGCGTTCGCTGAGCCTCCCTGACCAATGACTCCATCTCCCAGGTAACAGCCCCCACCACGCAGGAGGGAGGTAGGATAGTGTCTGGACTGGCAGCTGGTCCTTCGGAAGCAAACTGGCGAGAGAGAGCGTCAGGCTTGAGGTTCCGTGACCCTGGACAGTAGGTGAGGGTGAATGAGAAGCGGCCCGAAATACAGGGCCCATCGAGCCTGACGGCAGTTAAGGCGCTTGGCAGATTGGATGTACGCCAGGTTCTTGTGGTCCGTCCATACAATAAAAGGGAGTTCAGCTCCCTCCAGCCAGTGCCTCCACTCCTCTAGGGCAAGTTTGACAGCCAGCAGCTCTCTGTTACCCACGTCATAGTTCTTCTCAGCTGGGGGTAGGCGGCGAGAGAAAAATGCACAAGGATGCAATTTTTGGTCTCGTTCCGAGCGCTGGGAAATAACTGCCCCTACCCCGGTGTTGGAGGCATCGACCTCCACAACGAACTGGCGAGAGGAATCAGTGTGGATGAGCACAGGGGCAGTAGTGAAGAGTCTCTTTAGCTCTGAGAAGGCTGCATCGCACTCTGGGGTCCAGGAAAAAACTGTTGTAGGGGAAGTGAGTCTGGTTAAAGGACCCGCCACTCTGCTGTAGTCCCTGATGAAGCGCCGATAGAAATTGGCGAAACCAAGAAACTGTTGAAGCTGTTTAACTGAGGTTGGTTTGGGCCACCCCGCCACTGCTTGGATCTTCTCAGGGTCGGTCCTAAGCTTTCCTTCCTCAATGATGTAGCCCAGGAATGAGATTGTGTTGACATGGAATTCGCATTTCTCCGCCTTCACAAAGAGTCTGTTTTCCAGGAGTCTCTGCAGCACCTGCCTGACATGGATAATGTGCTCCTCCTTGTTACGAGAGAATATGAGGATGTCATCCAGGTAGACAAAGACTGACCGGTTGAGGAGGTCACGGAGCACATCGTTCACCATCGACTGAAAGACTGCTGGGGCATTCGTCAGTCCAAACGGCATCACCAGATACTCGAAGTGACCGAGTGGTGTGTTAAAGGCCGTCTTCCACTCGTCCCCTTCTCGGATTCTGACGAGGTGGTAGGCATTGCGGAGGTCCAGTTTGGAAAAAATGGTGGCTTCCTGGAGGGGTTCAAAGGCGGAGTTAATGAGGGGTAGTGGGTATTTGTTCTTTACAGTAATGGCAATGAGACCCCTGTAATCAATGCAGGGCCGCAGTGAGCGGTCCTTCTTGGAGACGAAGAAAAAACCAGCACCGACCGGGGAGGAGGATGGCCGAATGACACCGGCAGCCAGGGAGTCATGGATGTAATTCTCCATGGATTTTCTCTCAGGGCGAGACAGGTTGAACAGACGTGAGGAAGGCAGAGGGGCCCCAGGAAGGAGGTCAATGGGACAGTCGTAGGGTTGATGAGGAGGAAGAGAAAGAGCTCGCTGTTTACTGAACACCTCTCCTAGGTTATGATATTCAGTGGGAACAGATGACAGGTCAGGCGGCTCGATCTTGGGTGGTGGAGAGGCGGCCTCTGCTGGCGGTAGGGCAGACTGCAGGCATGAGGATAAGCAAAAAGAACTCCAACTAATGATTTTGCCAGTTACCAAATCAATCTGGGGGTTGTGTGTTCTTAACCAGGGATGGCCCAACACTATGGGGGCATGAGGTGAGGAAATTAGGTGAAACTGAATAAACTCACGATGGTTTCCAGACAGAATGAGGTTTACTGGCTTGGTGCGGTGAGTGATTTGGGCCAGGAATTTTCCATTTAGAGCATTAGCACTAAGAGGTGAATCTAACACTTCGCAGGAAATTCCTGCCTGAGCTGCAATGTCAATGTCCAAAAAGTTCTCATCCGCAGCAAAGCATGGCTTCTAGCTGCGTTCTGGGTCGGGGGTTGAGAGAAGAGGAAAGGCTCGCCAGAATCCCCACAGCTACTGACGAGCCTGACCTTTTGGCAGATTAGGACAGGAGGAAACGAGATGACTGGTTTGGCTGCAATAAACACATTCCCCAGCCTGGATCCTTCTAGCACGCTCAGATGGTGAGAGGCGGGCCCTTCCCACTTGCATGGGCTCATCTCCAGGGGATGAGACTGAGTAAGGAGTCGGGAAAGATCTGGGGATTGGGGTAGTGGCAGTGCCAATTTGGGGATCAAGTGAGGAGTCGCTGGGATTGGAGTGACGGCTAGTCCTATCCCTACGTCTCTCTCTGAGGCGATTATCAATCTTAATGGCTGTGGCAATTCAATTATCCAAGCTACCTGGATCATCCCTAGCCGCTAGCTCGTCTTTAATTGCTTCGTTCAGCCCCTGAAGAAAAGCATCCTGCAATGACTCGTTATTCCAGCGTGAGTCGGAAGCAACTGTTCTAAACTCAACTGAAAATTTGGCTACACTACGGGAGCCCTGCCGGAGAGAAAGAAGGCGTCTGGAAGCGTCCCTCCCCCGTACCGGGTGATCAAAAACTTTTTTCATTTCGGAAATGAAAGTATCATATGACCAGCAAATTTGTGGCTGGCTCTCCCTAACAGCTGTAGCCCAATCTAAAGCCCTCCCCCTCAACAGACTCATTACATATGCTACCCTAGCCCCATCTGTGTGATAAGTACTAGGCTGCTGCAAACAAACAAAAAGGCTCTACAAATACCCAAATCTCCAGCGTATCGCTCCGGTGGGAATGACAGCCTCTCGTAGCTGATGGAGGGGTGCGGCAGGAGGGGGGGAGGGGCTGTCGGCTGTGCAGCGGGCTGCGGGGGAAAAGCCTGTGAGGTGAGCAGTTCTACCTGCGTGCCGATCCTTTGCACATTAGTGGAGAGGTTCCGGAGAGTCTCCACTGCCTCACGGAGAACTGTATCGTGATGCCCCACGAGAGCGCCTTGATTGGCCAGGGCTTGGCAGAGTTCGTCCGCAGTCTTGGGCTGGTAGCCGGTGTCCGCTGGGTCCATACTGGCCAGATCGTTCTGTTACGGTTATCTGAGAGGACCCAAACGCAGGACACGGCAGAGTGTTACAAAGGTTTTATTTTGAGGAGAAGGAGCGTGGAGAGTAATCCGGTTGCTGGCGGCTGTTGAGGTGGAGGAGCGCGGAGAGTAATCCGGTTGCTAGCGGCTGTTGAGGTGGAGGAGCGTGGAGAGTAATCCGGCTGGAGAGTAATCCTGGAGCACAAGAAGAACAGGTAAGAAGAACATTCAGGTGTAGCGGAAATAGCTAACTAATTCTAAGAAGGCTGAGAAGGCTGAGCGTTTTACCACTGGGGTTTAAACAACGATCTGGCGCTGACAGGTTGTGGAGCCTCCGCTGATATTCCATTAGTAATGGCTGATGGAAATCAGGTGTGTAGCAGAGGAGGGTGCCCAACTGATTGCAGCAGGTGGAGGTTGAGCCGGGAGCCAGGAGTGACAGCCACCACGCCCACACAGACAGGGGAAGGGAAAACACACACAAGGGAGGTGGCTGGAGAATACAACCACCACATAATGTTGCTGCCTTCTTGGCCAGGTCAGCATTGTAAATGAGATGTTATCTCAATGCTTTTTATCTGGTTAAATAAAGGTTAAAGGAAAAAAAAGAAAATGACCTACAGTACTATTGAATATATATATATATATTCAGCTATTTTTGTGCATTAAATCATAACAGATTAATTGTTATAATTAGCCGCGTTAAATGCCAAGGAGAACTTTTTATTTGTTTATTTGCAAGTTTCATTTTTGAAGGGTCAATATTGTGTTAGTAGCAAAGTGTGTTTAGTGTTTATTTGTGGTTAATCCAGTTATTGCGTTTGTCCATCCTGTCTGTTAAATGGTTTAATCTGTTAGTATGTTCCTCTTATGTGTGGATTAGGTCGGCGTTTTGATTTATTTAAGTCACTCACTTCTGTTGGTTGCTGTTCAATAACATAATCTCTGTGCTGGGCCCAGCTTTGCTTTATCTATCTTCATTTTGGGGATACATAAAAACAAACTCTTATTTTGAAATCCCAAAAACCTGTGTTTATCTTTCTCTCAGGCTATTTTAGGCGCATTTCCTCCCATGTGCTGTTAAAATCTATAAATAACATCTCACACATTTGCTGTCAACTGATATCAAAACTCTTTTTATTTCAGACATGTGCTCCAGTGAAAACAAAATTACAAACAGTAAGGTAAGATAACAAATACACATTGAACACTAATAATAATAATTATAACATATCATAATGTAAGTGTAATATAATGATGATAATATTAATGATCATACATAGAGAACATTAATATCAATACAAATAGTATTAATATTAATATATCTCAATCCACCACAATATATGTACAGATATCAAAAGGAGACAACATGAATACATTTAATTTTTTTAGTATGCATTATAATAATGCAATGTTTTTATGTTATTGCAAAGTCTTTCTTCTTATGTTTATACATATATTTGATGATTTATCTTTTAATTTTCTTATTCCAAAATGCTACACAACCCATGTTTCTCCAGGATAAAGTATTTCTGATTTAATTTAATTAATATTAATATCTCTATTACTCTTAGTGCAATAGAGACTATGTAGTGTTATTAGTGTTTGTATATTGTTATGTGTGTACCTGCACAGGGACTGTTTGAAAATGAGCTAACAGCTAACTATAACATGTTCCTTTTTTAGATGAATGTATTTGTGTGCATGGACGTTGTTTGATAAACATATAATGAACCTGAATGAATTTTTTAAACAAAGAAACTATAAACCAGAAATGAAAGATTTGGATATAATATTAAGTGGATATATAATAAACAGTGTTTTTGTTTATCATCGTGTGTCGCAGCTCTTTGTGCAGCAGCAGGTTGCATTTCACCACAGCCAGCCCTCCGCTCCACAGCGCCCCCTCTGGCCAGCCGCTGCACCGCGAGGACAAGCTGAGAGCCCGCTGAGCGACTGCTGCTGAAGACACAACACTGTTGTCTGCACTCAGGTAAGAAGAAACCCGACATATTTCCTTTATTTCACCGACACAATGCCAGGGAATCACACCGTAACATCGCAGCAAGTCGCGGACCAACGCTGCTTCGTAATTCTCCATCGGCATTCGTCTTCTCACTTAATATTTTTTGCATGAGGTGGGAGAGGTTGGGCCTCTGAGCGTTTATAGAAATATCATGCACATGAGTGAAATGCATTTTTCTAACATCAAAAGGAAGCAGACACCCTCCAGCACCGTCATATTTGGGTGGTTTTTATTACATTTAAATCATGTGCGATCTACATCTCCATCGATCCTCCACCTACAATAAACACAGAAACGTGTTTTTGTTGCAGCCATAATTTCCCCAGGAGCCTCCCTTCACCGACACGGCGTGTTTTTCCTCCTCATTCCGTGCAAAAACAAAAATGTCTCCATCCTCCTCCTCTCTCAGGTCCTCCTCTCGCCCCAGCTTCACGGAGATCGCCTTTGCGCGCGGTTACAAGACTAATCCGTCAGAATATTTATTATCTCATTATTTACGGATCCCAGGGGCACAATAATGCAATGTTTTCCTTGAATATGTAGTCAAATTCAGCTGCTTCGTTTCTTTGTGTCGCCTGATTTGATGTGATTGTGGCTTGCTTTTTTTCGCTCCCGTTATTCTGCATCTTTCTCCTCTTTCTTGCATCTGAGGGCCTAAACGGTGTCTGGAATCGCTGTACATGCACCAGACATCCATTTTTATGCTATAATCCTGCGTCTAAAGCAATAGACAAACAACCCCCCCATGGTGTTTTGCAATCATTTACACGTAGCCTATGTTCATATCCCAACATTTTTAATAGAGTCAATTATGTTGGGAATTGGCAATGATGCACCGCCTGCGCAAATGCCAAGCCCATTTTTCATTTGATCAACAGTGGAGAGTGCGCACAGCAGCGCAATGAATGCTTATGTGCCACATATGGGCTCTGCGTTCATCTGCACGGGGTCAATGGACAGGATCTGATGGCAGAGTAAGGTGCATGGGAAGCTTTTCACCATGAAAGACTATGAGGCTTAATGCTCTGTTTTTGCACGTCAATGATAATAGTGATCTCTTTCTTCGCCTCAGACACACCTCTGTCCATCCTCATGGGAAGAGCCAGTTTCTTGTTACATTGATTTGTGCTACAAGGAAGGGAGGGGTAGGCGGGCATGTTGTAGTTGGTTGTAGTGTGTAACCACAGCTGAAAGCTATTCCGACAGGCCAGATGAGGAATGAAAGACATCTCAGTGTCATTTTGTTAATGTGTGGATAGAGGCTACAATGCTTTCTGCAAGTTTCTGCAGCACTTTGGAATCAGTTGTTACTGGAAATATGTGCTGGTCATCTACATGGACCCCTCCCTCCCTGCTGAAGTTGTAGTTTAAATGAAAGGATGGGTTCAGAGTCTCTCAAATGTGTCGCTTGCCAATGCCGGTACAGAATGCACTTGAGGGAATTAATACATTATGACCATGCAGGGTGTCAAAATATCTATATTAAATGTGCCCGGGAATGCTCATTTTCAGGTTCATATGTGTATGTAGTGTCTCTACTGTGACATGTCTCCATGCTTTAATGTTCAAAAAGCTCCTTATTATTCTCTTACTGCCTGTGCTGCAGCACCTCTTTTCACCCTCTGTCTGAAACCAGAGCCCAGTCTGCTCTGATTGGTTAGCTGGCAGGCTCTATTGTGATTGGTCAACCACTTAGAGATTTCCCAACCCTTAGCCCGTCACAAACAATGTGTTGGAGCGCTAGCCAATATAGGCGTCAGAGTTGCATAGTGATGTCACTATGTTACGGAAGTAAACAAAGGAGTCCAATGGAGGCGTTTCAGGCAGGGGGGCAGAGTGTGGGAGAGAAACCCCCTCTAAAGGGAACACAGGGATTTGAGCCTTTGCAGACCATTGACATGCACAAAGAGCTGTATAACACACGGGAACACCCAACCCCTTTTGGTTGGAAAGTTGAACACTTAGTACTATAACATGTCATTTAGCTGATGCTTTTATCCAGAGCAAGTTATATACACTTACATTTCATAGACATACCGACAGGATCAATTTTGTGTTAAGTGTCTTGCCCAAGGGCACTATGACATGTTTACTGCAGGGTCTGGGGATTAAACCACTGACCTCTGATTGATACATGCCCATTCACCCCACAAGCCACCCCTATCACCTGTCTCTGATAAATGTTGGAGCATTCTGAAAACGATGTCTCTTTATTGGTTTAGTATATATGAAAGATGCAGGTGCGTTGTAGTATTCCAGGCCTTTTAATTAAAACAATCCCTCCTCTGATTTTGGCTGCTGACTTGATCGAGTCATCAGCTTCAGAGACGTGTCCCTGAGCGTCATGCGTTATGAAATGAGTCGACACTGAAGGCTCTATTTAGCTGCCGCCTCATGTTGGCCTGAGACCAGAGGTGACCTCACCCCGCCTGAGGACCCTCGGCCTGAGGAGCTTAGGCTGGCAAAACCAACCACATCACTCAAGCAACTTCTCTACAGTCGAGATATTATATAAGATATTTAGATTCAAACATCTGCTTCAGAACATAATCATTATTTTTTTTACAAACTACCAAACGGTGTTCGCAAATTTTAAGATTTTCTGCTTTTTAAATTTTTTAATTAATGTAATCCAAATATATATTTAATTTTGAACAAACAATTTCGAATCTTTGGAAATGTTGACGCTATTTTCAGAATTTCTATTGCCAAAACAATACCTGATAAGGAGAATAATCATTAGTCGAATCTCAAATGTGCTTCTTCTGGGGTCTTTTTTGGGACTCATAAGATCCTCACCCAGCAAAACAAAACACTTCTCCTTTTGCACATGTTCATTCAGTCAGGTGTTCGAAGAAAAGTATGACAGGGTTCTAAAAGTCTGCTGAAAGAAGCTGCTCTGACGTCTTTCCGATCGCAATGTCTCGTTAAGCTACAGCTGGATCGAAACCGCATTCTTCTTCTCAGTTAATTGGCACCATGCTGATGGAGGATGGCTCATTTCCCCAGTAGACGAGTGTGTGTGTGTGTGTGTGTGTGTGTGTGTGTGTGTGTGTGTGTGTGTGTGTGTGTGTGTGTGTGTGTCTTGTGTACATATTGAAGCATGCAGCAGCTGGAGATGACTTAACGCCCTGCACCATGACAACCCAGGAATAATTGCGCATATTCTGAATTCCAACTTTTAATGTTGTGGTTAGTCTTTTACAAACTCGAACAAAAAGTTTGGATTTTGCTCCACGTGTCGTGTCTTAAGAGTGTGACAGGAGGATGTGTGGAAAGGTAGCAGGGTGTGGTTAACATCCTGGAGGTATGAAAACTAAGGTAGGAACTAGAAAGGCATTTGGTAAGCACACGCCTCTGTCAAGGCCAATGGTGCATTCAAATGCTCCTCAGACTGTCTTATTTCCTGAGTTGTAAAGTCGTTCTTCTCTCTTTAGTTTCTTTATGAGCTCGTAATGTGAAAACAACCTGGATGCCACAAAGAATATATGTAGTATCATTTTTTATTTGGAGCGTTCAACATGTTGATACATAGTGTACTCAAAGACATACATGGTCAATTTCAGTAAAAAAAGAAATCAATGAAAAACAGCACCTTTTGAAATGATAAAACCCACATTATTAATAAAGCATTGAAAGCAGCTCTGACAAGGTGAGATTTGGTTATGGACAGATTGGTGTAGTCACGGATGTGTTTGTTAAATTGTTGTATTATTCCGAAACCGCATGAATGCAGCAAATATGTCCTATCTGGCAAGTTAACATAGGTTACATATTATGCATGTACACGGCAGGTTTAAAGATTTGAATCCTCTCCAAATTCCAATGGATTATTCTTTTGTCCATGCTGCACCCTTCCAGCAAATGTCATGAAAATCAGACAATTTTACTTTAAATTATTTTAGCAATAACATCGACAAACCAAGCCAAAAACATCCTATTGGTTAATAAAGAGAATCAGCAAGTTAGCAGCGGCCATGTGCATGCCGGCCCTGCAAGATGTTTCCCTCCGGTGTTAAGAGATGGAGGGTAAAATGGAAACGGGCCCCACCTTCAGCCCCTCCACATCATAGGAAGGTGGAGTCAGTCTGAGGCTGCTGGAGGCTGAGAACACAGAGAGAGGGAATGATGGAGGAAAGTAGGTCAGAGATACAGAAGCAGCCAAGCATGAGAGCAGCATCCTCGTCTCAGCTGAGCTACACACAGCGCTGCACGCTGACAAACGCCTTTGTTTCTGGGTTAGATCTGTTTTAGCACGGAAATAATTACATGATGAATAAATTGCCATGAAATGAATCGACAAAATGTTAAATATTCCCTGCTCCTAGCTTGTGCTGCTTTCTCTGTGTAATGTCGATGTAAATGGATCATCGTTATTCTTTTGACTGCTGGTCAGACAGAATAGATTTCAAAGACCTAAACTTGCAATGTTTTTGACATTTTGTAAATAAACCCATTGACATCAACCCCCCTCTTCCTCTGAAGAAAACAATATTAGGTTTCTGTTCTGCCATACATGAAACTCACAATTATAGATGACATTTTAAGATGTCTGGTTTGATCTGTCTAAAACCCAAAGATATTTTCAGTTTCTAATCATGTAAAATACAGGGAAAATGCAGAAAGTTCTCACATTTCAGAAGGTGACCCTAACCCTAACCATTTTTACTTGGTTTGATAGAAGTAACAATCAATTATCGAAATGTCAATAAGTTTAATGCAAACTGTCGAATCAATTTGTCAACTATTGTCAGTTCAGAATAATGCATTTAGACAATAGACTAATCATTTCAATCATTTTTCAAGCAAAACTACCTCCAAAAGATGTCTTTAGTCTCTGAAATGTAAGATTCCCTTTTCCTTTTTTGTAGTATGATAGTAAACCGAGTATCTTTGGGTTTTGGACTTTTTGTTTAACAAAACAAGCAATTTTGCAGAAGCCACCTTGGTAATTGGGTTAGTGTTGC